CTGACACCTGACTCCAGGTGCAGGGCTCTTAAGCACTGTGTAGCCTCTTCCTTTATTATTTCTACCCCACAAGAAGACTCTGCAACCCAGTTTCATCAGTCCTTGGCAGGTGGACAAATAGCACGTCAGTATTTCCTGGGCTTCTGCTTTGGGAAGATACGAGCACCCCCAGCACCAGAGACCCCTGCTCTGGGAGCTGCCAGTCCACCCAGGGAGGCAGACCCTACCTTTAGGACAGAACCCGCCAGCAGGCTCAGGGAGAACAGCCGGCGGGCTCACTCAGGCAGGGGTTCCGAGCAGGGAAGAGCACATTTGCTGCAGACTGTCCTGGCAGCCGGCTCCTCCGCCCCCAGCCCGCACAGCCCGCGCCCGCCTGCGCTGCAGGAGGAGGCAGCACTGCCGGGCTATTTTTACCCCTGCCCACGCCAGCCCGGCTGGCAGCTAACGGAGGCCCTTCCCCTCTGAGGTAGAGGTGGGCAATGCTCCCACCGCGTCTCCTCTTGTGTAGGGGTCACAACCACGTGTTACCATCACTACCAGTGTCACCACCCCAGTGTCATCACTACCAGTGCCACCACCACCTGCGTCACCATCACCCCCGAGCCACCATCTGCATCACCATCACCACCAGTGTGCCACCATCTCCGTCACCATCACCCCCTGTGCCATCACTACCAGTGTCACCACCCCAGTGTCAACACTACCAGTGCCACCACCTGCATCACCATCACCCCCAAGCCATCACTATCAGTGTCACCACCCCAGTGTCATCACTACCAGTGCCACCACCATCTGTGTCGCCATCACCCCCGAGCCACCACCATCTGTGTCACCATCAACCCCTGTGCCACCACCATCTGTGTCACCATCACCCCCTGTGCCATCACCATCTGTGTCACCATCACCCCCTGTGCCATCACCATCTGTGTCACCATCACCCCCTATGCCACCACCATCTGTGTCACCATCACCCCCTATGCCACCACCATCTGTGTCACCATCACCCCTGTGCCACCACCATCTGTGTCACCATCAGTCCATGTCACCATCACCATCAGTGCCACTACCACTTGTGCCATCCTCAATATCAGTGCTGCTGCCACCTGTGTTATCATCAGTTATTGTCATCACCTGTGTCAGCATAACCACCTGTGTCACCATCGCGATTAGTGCCACTACCACCAGTGTCACATCACTGTCAGTGTCACCCCCACCCCCACCACCTGTCACCATCACTATCAATATCACTAAAAGCACCACCACTTCCAGGAAGCTTAAAACCCTAGAAGGCTCTTCTAGGCACCTCTGTCCAGCCAGCTCAGCTCCGCCTCAGTCTCCCCACACACATGAGGCCAGCGGGGGGAGGAAAGGTATTGGGGCCCCATGGTAGGGACTTGGAGTGTCCTGGCCATTGAAGTGAGCACTGGGCCCTCGCCTGCCATGAAGCGGGTCCTTGCCCTCTGAATAAGCTCCTGGCACCTTCCGATCTCAGTTCCCAACAGCTGCACTGAGGGTCCTGGCACACCTCCCTCCCAGTGCCCTCCCCACACACCCCATCCTTAGGCTTCCACTCACCGCTGGTCCGGAGGGCCTCACCCTGGCCCCCACCCACCCTGAGCTGCAAACTCTCCCTTCCCATCCAACCGCCCCAATTCCCAGATCCACCAGGAGTCAGATCTCCACATCCTGCTAGGATCCACGTAGCCCAGAGCTACCCAGCTGTGACCCTAACCATGGCCCTCACGGTTTACATCTCAAGGAATCTGAATTCTTACCACTTCCCTGTGCTGTGGAGAAGGCAGAAGTCCCCAATGACACATGGGCAAACTGAGACCCAGAGAGGGAAGTGTCCCATTTGAGTTCCTCAATCAGAAAGTGGAGCCAGCGCTTGGGCCTGGACTCCACACGTGTGCCCTCCTGACCTCTGCCGGGTCAGTCCTGCCACCACGCCAGCCACTGACACCAGCACCACAGTGGCCCCTGTCCTGGGTCCACGGCCACACCTACCCGGCAGCCTGCTCACCAGGGTTCCCGCGCTGGCATGTGGCCAGGAGGCCGGGCCCGCGGTCTTGGCGAGGCTGAGATGGAGATGCGCCAGGAGGCTGGACTTCTTCCCTTTCAGAAACCCAAAGTCCCCAAGTGCTTCTCTGTCCCCTGGCCCATCCCACTCACTGTCCTTACCTTGCCTGCCCTGATGCCATCGGTTATCCATCCTGCATCCAGCAGACTTTTAAATTACCACCCCAGGAATCCTGTTCACTGTCGGGAGGAATAGGGATCCAAGAAGCCGTAATTCAGACCTTAACCCTCCCAGCTGATGGCCACTCCAGACAGTGCCCAAACTCCAGCCTAAATATTCAGCCATCCCCTCAAACTCGACAGCCCCAACCAAATACATCACTTAGTCAGTCTGCAAGTATCTGAGTACGTGTGAGGTGCTGAGTGTCCAGGAGCCCATAGAGGGTAAGATGGAGTGGGCCTCTGCCCTCCTGGAACCCACAATCTAGTGGACACGGGTGAGTACAGAGGAGTCTCTTACACTAGGTCTCTTCCCCCACCTCCATCTCTACTTCATAGGCAGGCCTGGATGGCCACATTCCTATCCCTCCCCTACCCCATCACCCAGTCAAGTTCAAAGCTCAGGCCAGCTTTGTCCCTGGTGCTGGGCCCGCGGGTCTCCACACACAGCCCCACCACTGCGGCTCTGGGCACCAGGTGGGCTGAATGGGACTGAGACCTGGGCCTTGCAGAGGGAGCTTTCCGTGATGTCCCTCTGTCTTCTTGGGCCTTGGGAACACAACTGCATTGCTGGGCACTGCCCCTGGGAATCCCAGCCCAGCCTCAACATCCACTCCAGACCCAAAGCAGACGACGTGATTTGAACCCAGAACCCACTCTCAGAACAGTAGTCCCTTGGCCCAAATTTCAAGGATAGGCCACACGGTGCCACCTCTGTCATCCTCTCATCTTCACTGTTCCCTCTGCCAAACATGAGGTCCCCCAACCCTTCCTGCCAGAGAAGGGACAGTAAAGTGCCACCAGAGAGGGGCACAGGGAAGTACAGAGCTGCACACATCGGAGACAGCAATCGGTGGGGACCAGGCCGCCTCTTCCCAGCCCTCATGTGCCTCCCTTGCCTCGCCCTTGTACGATCATGCTACTCTGTCAGCCCCCCAACTTCCACACCAGGACACTCCAGTCACTATCCCCTGACACCCTCCCTCAGTTTGATAACGCCCAGGCCTAGAAGTTGAAAAGAAACTGATAAGGAAAACCTCATAACTCTGCTCCCCAGCTGAGAAGCTGCCAGTAGCTAGTAACAAAGCCTCTGACTTCAGTCTCCCCATTTTCTGGCTCCTGGGGAGAAGAGCAGCTGTCCTGACCCAGACAGAAGTTCAGAGGCCAAAGGTGGACCTGAGAACCAGGCAGGTGGGTGGAGCACCGACTCAGCTGCCGGGCTTGCCAGCTTGCCAGAGGGCTGCCTGGGGCGGGAATGGAGAGATGCCTCCTCCTCTCACTCAGCCCTGAAGCAGGAGGCAGCTGGAGTTCCTGGGGCCACAGACCTCCTCTGCCACAGGTTCTAACAACGGCACAGACAGGAGCACTCACAGAAACAGAAGACTTGAGGTGCAGACGGGCACCTGCAAATGTGGTTCCCAACCACGGGCTCCCCACCCAGCGTGGCACACACCTCACACTCGGTCACACAGCCAGGCAGTCGCGCACACACACCCGGCCAATCTCAGACACATGCACAGACATTCACAAACAGTCATGGACACATGCACATACACACACAGGAACATGCTAACACAGATACACATTCAACTACAGCCACACCCACCCACACTCACACAGCAGCAGCTGCGACCTGCTGTGCCCCTGGGACAGTGAGAAAAAGTTTACGGTCTCTGCTGCCACCAGGATCCTCGATCCCTATCCAGTCCAGGCACCTGAAAGCCCCTCCACACCCAGGTCTCCAGCACCGCCACCCCTCTGTTTCCACAGGCAGCCAAGACACTCAGAGAGACTTCACCTCCAAGTTCACTCCCGTCTTTCCAACCACCCTCCCATCTGTCACCCACCATCCAAAGCCCCCAAAGGAGACAC